TGTTAAATTCCGAAAATTGTTCGATACGATTTAAACCATCTTTTAAAAAATAATTTAATATTCATCAATATCAAATTAAATATATATGTAAATAGAATATGAATTATTTTCATAAATCCCGTATTAAATTTTAAAAAAAATATATTTTATTAATATATATAATAAATAAATAAAATATATTCCAATATACATTTTAAATGAATTTCGTTATAATCAAACAATTCCAAATCAATTCCAAAAGATTACAATAATAATATTCACATAATTTAATTTATATTTATATATATATATTTAATAAAAATATATTTCATTTAAGAAAATAGATATTTAACCTTAAATTTCCGATTTTACTTCCGTTTTTTCCAACAGCGGAAAATTACGGGAAAAAAAGAATAACAAATTCTCAAATTGAAAATAAAACACAACAAAAGATAGTAACGGGGCAAAAGCCGACATAATAATTAACATATAAAAATATATACAGAGAAAATATTATAATGTCCGCGTTTCTTTTGTATACCTATGGAATTAATAGGCCGCATGGATAGAAGTCTTCTTTCTTTAACCTACATAGGGTAGCATATTAATAATATACATCAATAAATAATTCGGAGGCGCAATCCAATAAGACCTTCATTAAAATTCCTTATCGAGCGAATAAGTATATCGTTATTACGCTAAATTATCTTTTCCTACACACTCTGTTCGGTAATTTGCCCCCCATTACGAATGCCTAATAAAATCCTAACGTCTTAAATGCGAACATCTATATAATTAATATCAAAATTGCTACGGAATAATATCCTATATATTTCTCATATTTATAATACATTAAGAAGAAAATCATCGAATAATAACGTTAATGCGGTAATATAATTTTTTAAATAATTCCTTATATTTAAATATTTAATCGAAACGTATTTTATATTATCATTTAAAAAGAAAGAAATATAAAAAGTAAAACAGCGAAAAGAGAAAAAAATGCGAGAGGTAAAAATAAAAATGCAATATTCGATATAGTAATTTGTCCCCTCGGAAGCGACCTTTCATACATATATATTCATTTGCATTCTAAATCTTCAAATATGTATTTTCGAAATGTTCAAAAAGATTCTTTAAAAAAAACAAATTTGCCCCATAGCTCAAATCATCGATAAGCATTAAATCGGAACATCATAGCATTTAAATTATCCTAAAACCATAAAAAGCTCACGAAGACGCTCCACAAAAGAGAATTGACGTACTTCACAAAACAAACTCTAGGTATGTACCCCCTCGAACAACACCTTTCGTAATTAGAATTTCATATTCATTCTTTCTAAATATTCAAGAGGGTTTCAACTATCCTGCAATCATAAGAGGTTTACGACAACGTTTTCCAGGAGAGAATTGATTTTAGAGGGGAAGTCTGTATTGAAAAATCAATTCCAAGGGGGCGGGCGGGGCGGGGGGTCTGTATTAAAAAATCAATTCGAGGGGGGGGGCGTTCTGAATTGAGCGATCAATTATTAGACCCGGACGTCCCAACACTTGTTTCGCAAGACAAACTCAAGGTATCCCCTAAAGGGCTACCTTTCGTGATAAATGTTAAAAATGTTATAAGATTTCCATCATTAGCTCAAAAACCCAAATCGTCCATAAATTCATTTACCCAATCATACGTAATTAAATCGCGAATCTTGCATCTCGGATCGCGAATCTCGCATCTTGAACCTCAAATCTCGCATCTCAAATCCCGAGTCTCGAACCTCGCATCTCGGATCGCGAATTTCGGCTCTCGCACTTGAGGCCAAGGGGGGGGGCGAAAGCTAGCGCTCCAGAATGGGAAAGTGGAGGGCAGCGAGGTAGGAAAAAACACGGCGTTCTTTTTGGAGGCAGGGGTGAAGAGTCCTTTATATGTGGCTCTTTGCCCGGATCCTCCTGCGAGAGAAGAGAGAGAAGAGAGACGGAAAGACGAGAGACAGAGAGGAGAGAGAGAGAGAGAAGAGAGAGATGAGAGAGATGAGAAAGAGATGAGAAAGAGATGAGAGAGATGAGAGAGATGAGAGAGATGAGAGAGATGAGAGCGATGAGAGAGATGAGAGAGATGAGAGAGAGAGAGAGACAGTAAGACAGTGAGACAGTGAGACAGTGAGAGTGAGAGTGAGCGAGTGCGGCCGCAAGATACGCAACGCTAACCGCATGCCAAAGAGCGACGACAGGACGGAGTCGAACTTGCGAAGAGGGAGGAGGGAGGGAAGGTGGGAGGAAGACAAGGAGGAGGAGAGGGGAGG